CACTCCATGTATAAAGTAAGTACATTAAAAAGGCTCGAAAAAATTGTCAATTTATTTCCTTTTCAAATTCAAATCTTATTTGAATTATACTTTTCTTATTATTATAGAAATGCAATATATTTATTCTCTAATTTCATACTTCTCCTTACTTTTGTCTTTGCCAAGTCGTAATAATAGTTTTCACGGTTTCGCACTTCCAAATGACTTTACGTAACCAATTACTTCTGCCATCTTACTATTATCTATTTAAAGTGGCGCCAAAATAATTTATAAAATATTATTCGAAAAATAATCTCTTATGTTTTACATTACACGCCCAAAAAGGGAAAACATGAAAATGTGGTTCTTTAAGAATTTTAAATTTTCTCAAAATACATTCATTAAAATGTTTGCTGGCATATAGTGGGATTTTTTTTTTTCGGGACATCTAACATGGATTTTATCTTTAATTTTAAATTATCTGCTTCACCAATATAGAATTCACCGCAATTTACACATTCTGAAAGATGTATTACGATCATTAAGCTTTGTAATTGTTACATCCATACTTTATCTAAGATATATCTTCATCAAAATTATTTATTTTGAAAAGTCAAGCTATTTGGAAAAAAGTTATTTTTCAGAAATGTAGTATTATCAGAATAAAACCTGGTTAAACAAAAAAAAAAGATTTTCTTTTACAAAACGATGAGGGCGCTGGCTGTTTTTGACATGTTTACCCAGGTGTGTGAAAATCGGATTCAAATGCATGTTTAGGATTTTTGACTACTTTCTAGATAGAATATTTTCATCACTGTTGTTTAAGGTGAGGAGTTTTTGCTGTTATCAATAATCAACATGTTTTATGTGTAGTAAACCTCCTATTAGCTGATAATAAACTACGTTCAGTACTGCTTAATGTAGTTAACATCACTGTCAATTACTGGACAGTGAAACTTAAAAACTAAAATAGCATACATTTATGAAACTAATTTTCAAGTGTAAGAAGTAGAACTTAATAATATCTCGTTTGATCAATTCTTTGTTTAATGACGGTAAAGGGATAATGATAATTGAATAAGCATTTAGAAGTTCTGAAAACTGTTGTATCTTTTAAACATTTAAAACTAAAACAAACTTTGGGTTAAAGTAGCAAGGATATTTACATTTTAAACAGAGTTTGAATAATTGTTATGTAATAAACCGATGAAATTAGTAGTTTTTCTTAAATTCATTCCTTAATTAACCAATGAACCTGAATAACATCTCGATTAGTATAACATTACTTATGTTGGTTAAAACTTTACATAATAGTAATTCTATATTCTTACTTATTTTGTTTAACCATGTATCTAAAGTATATTGTTATATCAGACATTACCTTATGAAAATGCGTAAATTTTAAATTAATTTATTAACTTGGGTAGGTTTTCATATCAATCACTACTTTGTGGGTAAAAAAAAAAAAAATTCAAGGGAGGTAGACCCCAACTTACACAAGTGCTTGTATCACTTGTATCAATAAAGATATGTGCTGTAATATTAAAGGGAGACCTTAGCCAAACTTGCTGAAGATGAGGAAAGACTTGCCAAGTTATCTTATTCAGAGTTCTACGTGAAATGGTATATTCATTGGCACATTACCAATTAACAGACGCCACAATGGGTGAATTTATGCAGCTAAAACACAGTATGTATATATTTTTAAGAAAAGTTGTTCAGTTAGTTATGGAGTTAGAATCAAATGACGTTGTATATAAAGAACTAAAGTAGTCATCCAATAACTGTGGGTTTACCAGACCAAATAGTGTGGAAATATCAAATCAATGTATTAGAAAGCTGGAATAGCTCAAATAATTAATTAGGCAATTGATTATTCAGAATGAAAGACATTTTTGAAAGACAAAAAGTTTTCAGCTGTCACCTAAAAGAGCATATTATCAGGAAATAGAAACTACACCCAAAGAATAACAGGAAAAAGAATATTCTATAAGTATGGAAATTATGGACATTCTATCCGAGGTTGTGATGAATTAACCATTGATAACAAACCAATGAGATGGTATCCTGAAGATGAAAATAATCCATCTGCCCCAGCTGAGATAAGAAGTTCATTACTTAAAGTAACATATGCACGAGTCAATGGCTTCATTGATTGGAGGCATTTCAACTTGTTGATTGACATATATTCTAATAGCTACCATTGTGTGACCTGGTCTGGTAATGAAAGCTGAAAACTGCCTACAGAGATGAAACAAGAAGATGGATTGGTGCAAATAGTAAGTGGCCATAGAGTTCCATAAAAAGAAAACTAGAAGCCACCTTCACTGTTAGAAGGTTCTCTAGACAACATGGTGGATTGGAAATTTACATAGAGGAAGACTACATATTGGGGAGAGACTTCGTGCATTAATAAAGATGTTTCATTTGACAAGCTTTGAACGATTTTCACGGTGTATGACCAGGAAATCATAGGTAAATTAAGAAAAAAAGCATCGTCAAGAATCTTTTGGACATATTTTAAGTATTGGTAAGTACCCTCTACAACATGACGTGGTGGCATTGCAACCCTTTTGTTGGCTGGAACACAGACGTTCTTCCTTTCTTTGTTTCACAAAACTGATTCTGGCATCAGCACTCTTATAGCTGTGACGACAAAGAAAATAGTTGCTGGTCCCAGAACTGGTAAAAGGCTCCTAAGCTTCGTCTGGCAGATCTAGAGCCATTATAATGGCTGGTATTTGTTCAAAATTTTTCACCTGCTGTGGTGGATCCTCCTCCTTGTCCATGGGCTCAGGACCCCACAGGTCAAGGTCTTTTCTAAGCTACTAGATTTTGGCTCATTGCTAACAGCAATTCGTATTCTATCGTTCATCATGGCGGACAAACTTTTCTAATAGGTCAAAGCTCAGACAAGATAACCAATGGACATGAATTGTGGCTCTTTCATAGCAAAAGTCAGGACTGAAAATCCCAAGCTGTGACTCCTAAGCTGTTCAGGTTGAACTTCATTATGTCCATTCAGGAAGACCCTACCCTTTTTACTAAACATTTTTCTGGGCAAAATGTCACATATGTGCAGCATTTCACACTAGGTTAAAATTTCTAGTAATCTCCTAGTGAATACTTTTCGAACTTGTCACTCGGAGTTTAAAATCTCTAGTAATCTCCTGGTGAATAATTTACGAACTTGTCACTCGGAGGTTAAAATCTCTAGTAACCTCCTAGTGAATAATATATGGACTTGTCACTCGGAGTTTAAAATCTTTAGTAATTTTATAGTGAATAATGTATGGACTTGTCACTCGGAGGTTAAAATCTCTAGTAACCTCCTAGTGAATAATATATGGACTTGTCACTCGGAGTTTAAAATCTTTAGTAATTGTCTAGTGAATAATATACGGACTTGTCACTCGGGGGTTAAAATCTCTTGTAATCTTTGAGTGAATAACATACGGACTCTCGGATTTAAAACTGTTAGTAATTTTCTATTAAATAAGATACAGACTTGTTACTCGGAGTTTAAAATCTCTAGTATGCTTATAGTAAATAACATACAAACTTGTCACTCTAAATTGACATCTTTTAACCTTTTACATGTGCAAAAACGTTCATTTCAAATATTAAAAAGAAGTCTGCAAAGAAAATGTTTATCGTTGTAGCACATTTAAATTGGCAAGAACAAGCTTTGCTCCTGTATGCCAGTCCAAAACAAAAATGTAATTTAAAGCCTTTTATTAACACAGTGCATCTGATTATTTGATTATTCGATCTCCATCTAAACATTCAATCAACATAACCTTTTTTTATGACAATGTTACTCAATTATCTATGGGACTTATCTATCACACTCAAGGCCTTTACTTGCATGTAACTGTACTGTATACTTTTCTTTATGTTCATTTACCTTATCCACAACGTGTTGTTACTTACAGATACCCGTACAAATATAAGTATATATAAACTTAATGGTTCTGACGATTTTCGTTGGCGATTATTTGTCTCCACTTGTAACGAGAATAGTATACAAGTCGGTATAAAATACAACATTTTCTTTATTATCGTTAGCGTTTTCAGTTCAATACACAATCGAATTCCTTTCTAATGTTTGTTTCTATTGTACGTGTTTTCTAACAACGTTTGCATTGGAGTTTAAAAAAACGCCCTTCCTGTCTAAATTACGATAAAGATCTAACGACAACAAGTGTTTGGTTTACAATAACGTTGTGTAATATCTATCACTTTCTACACATTCAAACTGTGTACTACCTTTCCTGCGTATAGTCCTCAACTGTTTGTTTTTGATAGTGTCTTGAGTGCTGAAGCAGCAACTGGGTAAGTCAAATAAAAATCAGCTTATTACGTTTTTGAAAGATTAATGTTTTTTAAGAGAACAGGTAGGATAGAGGAGACTACTGTAACTTTAAAAGAACAGACAGAATGAAACAACTGTATATTTTGCAAACGGTCAAACGGAGGAAAATAAAAATAGTTTGTAGAATAAAGTACGGAATCGAT